TTTTTTTTTTTTTTTTGAGACAGTCTCAAGCTGTCACCCTGGGTAGAGTGCCATGGCATCATAGCTCACAGCAACCTCTAACTCTTGGGCTCAAGTGATTCTCTTGCCTCAGTTTTTTTCCATTTTTAGTAAAGACTAGGTCTTGTGTTTGTTCAGACTGGTCTCAAACTCATGAGCTCAAGCAATCTACCTGCCTCAGCCTCCCAGAGTGCAGGATTACAGGCATGAGCCACCATGCCCAGCCATTAAGAGCAATCTTTAAATGTATTTCCAAATAAGCTATAAGAGGAAAAACAAGTGATTATGAAGGTTGAGAGGGTTTCAATTTGCTTTTAAATTCTGGAGGTAGAGATCAGCAAGAATCTCTAGACAGCTTGGAGGCAATGCAGGTCAGATCTGCGGTCTTAGACGGATGCCCTACAGCTCAGGAAGTCACCACAGCAATTGGGGAGAGATTTCTCCCATCCCTGAAATCATGGGTAGCCAATATGAAAAAGTAATTGTGAAATGTGAAATGTTATCCAATAGTTAGCCACATGCACAACACCATTAATCATTAGAGAAATGCAAATACAATGAGATACCACTTCATACCCACCGGGACAGCCATAATAAAAAAGATGGACAATAAGAAGCATTAGTGAGTATGAAACTGAAGCCTTTATACATTGCTGGTGGGGCTATAAAATAATAGTGCAGCTTCTACAGAAAATGGTTTGGTGATTCCTCAATAAGTTAAATATAGAATTGCCATGTGACCCACCAATTCCATTCCTGAGTATATACTCAAAAGATTTGGAAGCATATATTCACACAGAACTCGCATACAAATGCTCAAAACAGCATTATTTATAACTCCCAAGGGGTGAAAACAACTCAAACTGAAGAATGAATAAAATGTGGCATAGCCATGCAATGGTCTATTACATTATTTGCCAATAAAAAGTAATGAAGTACTAACACAAGCTACCACAGGGATGATCTTTGAAACCATCATACTCAGTGAAAGAAGCCAGTCACAAAAGGAGATGTATTACAAGAGTCTATCTATATAAAGTGGCTTCTAAAACAAGCAAATTTATATAGCAGAAAAATAGATTAGGACTGGCTAGTGGGATAAGGTGGAAATGGGCATTGACTGCTAATGGACATGAGGTTTCCTTTAGTAGGGGACAGAAATGTTCTAAAATTACATTGTGGTAATGGTTGTACAGTTCCATGAATATACAAAACAATCCCCACTGATTTGTACCCTCTAAGTAGTAAATTGTATGACATGTGAATTATATTTTGGTAAAGCTGTTTAAAAAATAGTCACAATGCAAACATTTATATAATTGGTACCCAAAGAACCATATTAAGAGAGGGATGAGTTCATCATGATAGACATATTTTGCAAAGTTTTAGAATTTACAATAACAGAATGTTTTACATCAATATATAAATAGATTTTAAAAGCTATACAGTGAGGCCGGTTTTTAATTATTGTTGCCTTTTTCAGATAAGAAATTTCAAACTCAGAAAGGTCCCCCTCTCTACTGAGAAGAAAAAGTCACTCTTGACATAATTGAGTTTGGAACTCATGTTTCCTAATTCTAAATTCTGTGATCTTCTCATCATGTCAGGCACACTGTCTTGGTAACAATGATCCCAAAGGGAGAGGGGATAGAAAGAAGAGACTGAGGACCTCTTCCCTTGTCTGATTCACAGTAAAGTGTGCGATGTTTTCCATCTGTGAATTGGGGTTCCTAGACTTCTCTTTGTTTGGATATTCTCAAGGACACTGCCATGTGCAAGTGAGCTTTAAACATGTGATTTCTTAAAATGTGAAAATGTCATCTTACGGACCCCTTTCTCCTTCTCTCAGGTGAAACTGGGACCTAGACTCCTTGAATGATGTGTGATTCAGATGGATAATTCCATCACTTCTTATGATGTCTTCATGTAGGAGCTGCAAATTAAAGAGCATGAAACCCACCTTGTTTCAATTTCTTCTTATGTAAAGTACCCTTTGCCTCACCACAGGTCACAGTAAGCAAAGGAGCCTGAAAATCCATAGTTGGATCTCTGGGTATTCTTGAGGCTGAAAGAGAAGATTTCTTCATTCTGTCTCATTTTGCAAATACACATGCCCTTCCTTCCTTACTGAGGCCATTCCTAAGAAGACACAGGTGTGCTTAGGAAACTAGTCCATGAATCTCCAGTATTCCAAAATCTTTTCTTTCTTTTTTTCTTTGAGACAGTGTCTCACTCTGTTGCCCTGGGTAGAGTGCTGTGAAGTCATCATAGCTCATAGCAACCTCAAACTCCTGGGCTCAAATGATCTCCTTGCCTCAGTCTCTCAGGTAGCTGGGACTATAAGTCTGAGTCACCATGCCTGACTAGTTTTTTTTTTTTTTTCTGTTTTTAGTAAAGATGGGGTTTTACTCTCGCTCATGCTGGTCTTGAACTTCTGAGCTCAAGCAATCCACCTGTCTCGGCCTCCCAGAGTACTAGGACTACAGGTGTAAGCCACTGCACCCCACTGAACATCTTTCTTTCAAGTGGCATTTTCATGCATAACTATAAAATGTCGCCCTAATTTCACCCCTCAAATTGTTTACAAAATTGAAAGCCTTAGCAGAGAAATCAGGCTTCAATAAAACTGTTTTAACTCCCATCTAGTAAACCCCACTTATTCTTACATGACAATGAAATACACAGCTACCATCACTGTTCTGCTGGGAGCTCTCCAGCTATGCTGTTTCGCTGCCCCTTAGAAAGCCAGAGATTGAACTTGTGTCTTCAAATTTGAGCACTGACTGGACAAGCAGGGGGGCTGGGAAAGGGTAATGATGGGGTAACCTAATGGAAACGGTGTCTGCTTTCTAAGTCTGCCTCCACTTAGCCTCATTTTCCTTCATGTCAGCTTTCTCTGCACCCAAGAGAGCTCAGGGAGTTCTAGAATAATTTGAAGATTATGCAGTAGAGGGTGGAAGGCAGTAAGGGTTGGAGACCTGACTTCACAGTGGTAGTGATGAGTAGTCTTCAAAGGGACACCAGGAGGATGAGCAGGTAATTCTGCCCTTCTAATCACAATTGTAGAGGCCAAGATCAGAAGGGGAGCTGTCCTTCATCCTGACACTAATTTTGAGAAAAGTAGACTGTTAGGAGTAGGATGGACAGAGAAAGACGGTTGGCCTAATTCACCCTCTTGCTTTCCAGATAAGGAGACTGAGGCAGAACAGGTCAAGTGATAAGGCCCACAGTCAAGGGAAGAGAAAGCCTTAGGGCACAGAACGCTGACCACACCTCTGGTTCACTTAATATGCAACCTGGGGTTTTCTGTGCCACAGAAGGTCAGCTAAATAACTTTTTAGGTTGTACCCTTTATACAGAAATGAACAACTTCCTGCCTGGATGCTTATCAGTTCAGGAGAGGCAGCACTGCGGCAGCCCTGGGGTCCGTCACCAAGTTATTTGCTTCCCTCCCTGACACAGTGTGGAAAATGACTAAGCTGACTCTATTTCTCAACAGTTGGTACAGGTACATAAAGCAATTAGGAAGTAAGTTTATTACTAAAAATAGAGAGGGTGTTATTAGAAGTGTATTCCTCTTTTCTTCTTTACCTCTTGCTCGGCCTCTTTTCCGTGGGGCTCTGTCTCTCCGAGTGAAGCACTTTCTACGTCTTCTTCTCTTCCTCACTGGGAAAATTAAAAGTATAATCACAGCTACAGATAGGCAGTTGCACTACCTTAGATTAGCACTTTTCAAAAATTCCCTTTAAATGTAACTTTCCATAAGCCTATCTAATGTATGAAGAAAATATTTAAATCCTAGTCTGTAAGCTACCAAGAATTAGCTGGCTAATCTTAGGTTCACCCATATTTCATTTTCATATCCCCATATAAGCAAAAAAAAAAAAAATTAATTGAAACCAGCATTGTACTCATATCTCAAGCAGCAATGTATGCCCAATGCTTAAACATCTACTAATTTACTTAATCTTTGCCACACAAATGTTTGAGATCAGGATAATCATTACTCATTACAGAAAGCAAAATATTCAAAGAAAATTGAGGGTCTTTATGTGCTCTGCTTCACCCTTTGATGGATAGGGCCTGATTGTAATACATTGAAATGTGAAGCCTTGCCCCAAAGTGAACATGGAACGCATGTTGTACACATGTTAGCCTACTATGCACGCATGTACCACCTCATTGTAAATATTCATAGCTCCTCCTATAACCTACTGAATGCCTATTCTTAGGTAACCCCTTCAGCATAAGTTCCTGTCTCATCCCCTCCCTTAAAGCACCTGTCTCTAGTCTTTGCCAGAGGCTCTCCTTCCCCAGCTTGTCAGAATGGACAGCCTGGAGGTTGCAATGCTTTATGAGAAATAAAGTTCTCCTTTCCATTTACGATCCTTGTGAAAACAGTTACTAATGGGACTTTTGCTTCTTTAAGATCAAAATGGCCTGTTGACCCATATCAATATTGGTCATTGGTAATTAGAGAGATCTTATCCCAACCAAGATCAAACAAATTCCAAACATGTAAGTTATCACCTTGTTAATACTTAGCCAAGATAATAGGAGCTCAAACAGAGTTCTAAAAGAGTTTGATAAACTTATGTAATAAAGTAGGAAGTTTGAGTATTAATAGCAAAGAACTAAGGAAAACTATTAAAGAGGTGGAAATGTGGTCCTCAATAAGGCAGAGTAATTTTTCACTCCCTCTCCCCACTTCCCCCTGGAAGGTGAGGTCACAAGTCAATACGAGATCACCCACACAGGTTGGCTATCTGAGGAGCTCTCCTCCCATCTTCTCTCACTCAAGATGCCTGTGGAACTCTGGAAGGCCAGTACACTTGCAAGTATCTCTACCTCACCCCTCCCTACTCTCCAGTGGGTCCACACCCACAGCCCAAGGAGAAGACAGACAGACGTCATATTCTTCCTATGACAGAGCTCCTGATGCTCTTTTCCCTTCTACACCCCACCCAGGATGGACTCCAGAGCTCTGGCCATAGCCCAGGACAGTCCAGCACGTATGGAGTTCTTTCTTGCTTTCTCTCCATTTCTGTCTGGTTACATCTTTTCTGACGCTGGTGGGTATGTTGGACTTATCTTTCATCAAACTTTTTTAGGCCTAATATTTGCAGTGAAAAAAAAATGAGACACACTTAAGTCCACTCTAGTCCTCAGAGCTCTTGGTAAAGGGAGATCTGGGGCTTAAATCCACTAATTCATAATTCAGTACTACCGTGTTTCACTCCCAAAATAGAGTGGCTGATAAGGCAAGATTCAACTATTCTTGTGTCCCAGACTGTACCACCCATTTAACAACACTGAAACCCCAACTTAAACCCTAGTAAATACTATGGTGCTCAGAATACAATTTAAAGTTATTTCTAATAATTGTTATAGTTGGTATTCATTAGACTCCAGAAGTAAGTGTACAGAGTTTCAATTTCTTCCTGTTTTCTCAGAATTTCACTTCAAGCCCCCATAGTTGAGAACAATTCAATAAGAACCAAGTAAGATGGCCAGTTGTCCTGGTCTGTCCTAGGACTAAGGGATCAGCTTGGACATGGAAGTTTCATTAGCTGCTAGAAAGTCCCTAGCAACTAAGCTGAGTTAGTCACCCTACTTCCAAGCACCCACATCCCTAAGCCATGCAAAAGGCCACTCATGTGACTATCAAAAGAGTTGGTGAAACTGGTTATGCCAGCTTGGTTCCTTCACTCACATCCAGACCCAAAAGAAAGATTTTCTTTGTTTCAAAAGAAATTCAAGCTGTGGGGCTTACCCCCTCTTCTTACTTTGGGATGGGAATGATGAAAGCATCTCATGGAAGAAAAAGCAGTGATTGATACACATTCCCAACGTCATTCACTGCAGTGTCTGTCAGACAAGACTCTTTCATACTTTTATCTCTCCTTTCTCACCTTCCCAGCACAATGGGGGCCCAAACCAGCAGCAGGTCTTGAGTGGAGGGAGAGCAAGGAGATAGCGAGAGAGGACATTGACCACACTGCCCCCACTGCACACAGCCCAGACTCCCAGGCCTGCCCAGGACGAAGGACAGGGGGCTCTTTAAATTGAAGGAAATATTGAAGTTTTAATATTCGATCAGGAAGGACTCTCAGTACTGAAATGAGACTCTTACTGCTATTAACCGGCAACAGGAAAGCTGCGAGGCCTGCCCAAGATAGAAAGAACTCATTTAGAATGAGGAATTGAAAGGGCAGTGAGTGATAAACTTGTGTTCTGCTTACAATTTAACAAGTCCAGGCAAAGGAATTTCCATGAAAATCAGAAAAAAATAAGTGGACAAGTACTTTAGAACCTGGGCAGATAAGTTCTATGATATAAATATAAACAGCACACAACCCTGGGTCCAAATGGGTTTGCTCTCATAGATTTCACTGCTCTCAAAGTGACTACGAAACTTGTCTAGTAAACAATTGAAGAGGATCTAGGTTCCTCAAAACCTTAGCAAACCTTGGATTGACCTGCAAGGCAAAGGGACAGTGGCACAGACTCTTACCTTTTAGCTTGGCAAGGGGTTGGTGAGTCATGTTATTTTTACTGGAGACCAACTGACCATCAGCTTTGTCGTTCTCTGGGGATAGAGGTGGGGAAATGGAGAGTTGAACAAAACAGCTGACAGACTGGACTAAGAGCCAGTGAAGGGAACCCTGGGTTTAATTCTGGATCCCTTTTCTTTATACATTCAGACAAAGAACCTCAAGCAAGTGTCCAGAGGATTTTCTACTGTTAGGAGGGTCAACATTTAAGTATATGTTGGAAAGTCTCTTAGAATTTGTCTACATATACACAGACCTAAATGAAAATGTTATAATAATTCAATCCAAATAATTATTTGTTTCGAAAACACTCATTCTTAAAATGAATGCTACTACTTTTTTTCTTTCTAAATAAAAATGTACACATCTAACAATGGGCAGCTGTGTAAACTAGCAAAAAATAAGACATATAGATTAGTAAAAATTAATAGTTTAATAGGACTCTAAAATCCCACTATATATATCTACTGATTCAAAATTGAGAATCATTTCAAAAATGAGGTTTGCCCTTCAATGTCTAGGAGAAAGGGAGTCCTTAGACCATTACTGAAATAAAAAATATTTCAGGGGTCTGATTATAAGTAAGATATATATATTACAGGAAATTCAAAAAATAAATTGTATGAAACATCACTATCTGGAGATAACCACAATTATTTTGTTCAAAAATATTCTCCTAGGGTTTTCCTTTCTCATACATTACTTATTAAGTAACAGTGTTTCATTACAAAAGTTGAACATTTTTAATATACACATATACATTTTAAAACCACAAATAAAACATAAACATTATTTCTATTCCAATGACCAAAAGTAAACACTGTATGTATTTTTATGGGTGAACTGCAATTGATTTTTTCCTATATCTGCATCAATATTTCTTTACCTGTAGATAAGTAATTTTATATGTACACATAGGAGTTTATAGATACATCAAACTTACTTTCATCGGTACAGTTTCATACATAAAAATGTATGTTTACACACATTTTTTATAAGATGCACATATGCACACACATACATATACAGTTTGCTTTTTTACATTTAGCCTTTCTTTGGAACATCTTTCCAAATTAATACAAATTTCTTGACCTAAGAAAGAAAGTCACATACTCAAGATGACAACACATCTCTATTAACTCTGGATCATTTACCTGGATTATACATGTGTGAGATATAAGCCATTTTGTTTAAATCCTTGTATTTTTAGGCCTCTTTTTTATATAGCATCTTAACATATACCCTAACTAATACAGTACCTACAAAGCTGTCTTGGTCCTCAGGAGACTGCAGACCACCTAGAATACAAAGGATAACTTCATTTCACCTGTTTTTTTTTTTTTGTTTGTTTTTTATATAGACAAAGTCTTATCATTGTGTCACCAAGGCTGGAGTACAGTGCCATGATCATGGCTCACTATAGCCTTGAACACCTGGGTTCAAGGGATCCTCATGCCTCAGCCTCCTGAGTAGCTGGGACTACAGGTATGCACCATCATCACATCAGTAATTTGTTTTTAATTTTTTATTTTAGAGATCAGGTCTCCCTATGTTGCTTAGGCTGGTCTCAAACTCCCAAGCTCAGGTAAATGATCCTCCTGCCTCAGCCTCCCAAAGCTCTGGGATTATAGGCATGAGCCACCATGCCCAGCCTTCCTGCTTACCATTTTGTTGTATTGGTTTATACCTTCTCCTTTTAATTCTGGACCAGGAATGGCCTTTCTTTCTTCCTTCAAACCAAAGAGAATAAAGTTAATCATTCAGAGTTATAAATATAAGACCTACATGTTGGTAATAGTCAAGCATTTTTTGCTAACTTTAGTCCACAGGAATGGGGCAAAATTCTTCATGACTAGTGTAGGATTTTGAAGGCTGATTATATTTTAACTATGCACGGGAGACTTCAAAAAATTTTTTTAAATGAAAAGTTAACTCCTTCTGGTGCCTTAGAGTAAATGATAATTACTGTGACTATATATCAACACATTCCTTTTTAAGTATTTGTTGTGTAAATTCGAATACACAATGAAAAGACATGTTCCTGGAAGCTGGTAATGTCATGGATAATGTACTCCACTGGAAGTTGGGGGAACATTCTCAACTTTGATGTGGAGGGTTTTCATTTTATGATTTTTATACTCTTGGCCTTATAAAACAAATCCTCTTATTTATATTTACTCTAACCACTGAAGTTCCTGGAGGGCATTAAGGAACCACAGTGGAATTTCTGCCTTGAGTTTTTGCTTTCATTTGAGTAATATGACTATATGTAAATCTGTGAAGACCACTGGCACTGGGTGGATACAGATCGTATCTTATTATTATTGTGACTATAAAGACAGTCAGCTTTTAGAGTTTTCCTTGATGAAAGGGAAGGTCTGCTCCAAACCTGTGGTGTGATGAATAGGAAGATAAGTGGGACTACATCAAACTAAAAACCTTCCACTTAGAAAGGGAAATCACTTCAAAAATGAAAAGACAACCTATGGAATAGGAGAAAATATTTGTAAACTCTGTATTTGATAAGGGGTCAATACCCAAAATATTCAAGAGACTTACACAACTCAATAGCAAAAAATCCAACCAACCAAACAAACCAAAATGTTGTAACCTGATTAAAAATGGGCAAAGGATCTGAATTAAACATTTCCTCAAAGAAAATATATGAATGGCCAACAGGAATATGAAAAAGTGCTCAATATCACCTATCGTCAGGGAAATGTAAATCAAAACCACAATGAGTTATCATCTCACACAATTAAGATGGCTATTACATGTATCAAAAAGCAAGCAAGAAGTTTTGGTGAAGGTATGGAGAAAAGAAACACTTGTACAATACCGGTGGGAATGTAAATTGGTGCAGCCATTACAGAAAACAGTATGGAGGTTACTCAAAAAATTAAAAATAGAACTATCTGAAGATTCAATGTATTTTCAACCACAGCCCTAATGAAATCGGAGAGATTTTAAGGAAATATTTTGATTTGGCTCTGAAATTCACCCACTGTGAATGAGCTAAGGTTGCTCTACTTTTGAAATCTCCTTTTCTGTTGTGCCTCACTGTATCTTTTTGTTTTCATTTTGCAATAGAAAATAAAATGAGTGGGAATCACAAGACTTACTTTAAAGCTTTGTGCTTAAATTAATGTGGTACTGCATAAGAAATAGATAGATTAGTATTTCAGGATAGAGTCCAGACACAGATCTGCATTATCACAAAGGGAGAATAAATGGCATTCAAGTCATGAAGACAAAAGTATAGGGTAATATCTTATAATTACCATTTCACAACAAATACCAACAGGTGAACTCCATGTGTGGTAAAGTCAGGGATTTTACTGTTCCTGTCATGCAAATTGTGCAGAAGCAGTGAAACATAAGTCACAAAAAAGGTTCTTTGAAGAGATTGAACATGCGACTCACAGGTCCCTGAAACCAATATCAGCAGTGGTCAAAAATAAACATGTGATTTTCTAGGAAAGATCTGTGGAGACGCTTCTTGTTTAAAGCAGAAAATCTCCATGATATACATGAGGGATCCATCAGATTCTTGAGCTTTTTGTACCAGAAGAAACAAAGAGGTCCATGTCCTCAGCCCTAGAAACTGCAATCTGCTACTTCATGTAGCAAAAGGGAATCTGAAGATATGATTAAGTTTAGGATCTTGAGGTAGGGAGATGATTACAGACTACGTGAGTGGCCTCAATCAAATCACATGGGTCCTCCCATTCTCAGGAAGAAAACCATTCTTCCCAAGGTGAGCAGGATGTGTGACTATGGAAGAATGACCAGGGAGGTACAATGTAGCCAGCTTCGGAGCTGAAGGCAGGGATCCCTCAGCAGCCTCCACAAAGGAATGAGGCCCTGCAGACACCTGGAATTTAGTCCTGTGAGATCCGTGTCAAATTTCTGACCTACAGAACTATGAGATAATAAACTGTGTTGTAAACTAATTTATGGTAATTTATCACAGCAGTATAGAGAATTAATGCTTTTCATAATACAAAAAAAGAATATTTTACCTAATGTGGTTATATTACATCTTGTAAAATAACACTTTGTATTTTTTCAAATCACTCACAACTTTATGCTTTTTTTCTCTGATCTTAAAATAAATGTCCCTTACAAACTTTGGTGTATTTCTTTCCATATTTTTTCTATGCTTTTATTAACATATTTAGAAGTATACCTTATATTTAAATAAACCTAATCGCATTGTTTCATTTCACTTTAAATCAGTATATAACATGCTCTAAGGTCAGTATGTTTCAACTTTTTTTTATCTCAACTTTTTTTTATCTGAACCTATAGTTAAACTTCTGTGGCACACTCAAATTCTGTTGATCAAGAAAAGGAGTTTAAAAAAAGAACATACTTACTGTGCTTTGAATTTCTTTTGAAAATAATTTAATTAATGGTCTTTAAATTTTTTTTCATAGCATACCTAAGATCTTATGGCATACCAGTGTTTCATCAATTAAAAATTCGTGGAAAATTTACAAAAATTGTCTAGCCTCTGCTCATTGCTGGACAATACTAACTCACATAATACACATTTTTAGGAATGTATTATAGCCACACACCCCTCTTCCAAGTACCAAAATATGTATTACTCTTAATTGCTACCATGATAAGTTATCACAGTTTTAGTGATTTAAAACAACATAAATTTTTTATCTCACAGTTATGTCTAGTAGAAGTATGATATGGATCTCACTAAGCTAAAATCAAGGTGTCAGTATGCCCTCATTTCTCCCAGAGGCTGCAGGAGACAACCTAGTCCCCCATCCTTTCCAGCTTCTAGAGTTCACCCACTTTCCTTGGTCCCTCCCTCCATCTTCAAAGCCTGTAATATTATG